TGTAGGCCAGGCTGGCCTCACACTCTGCCTCTGCCTCTCGAGTGCTAGGATTAAAAGCATGTGTCACCATGCTTGTCCAGAGTGAGAATTTTAAATGGCTGCTACTGATCTCTGTGTGTAGTTACTTACTGCAATGCCAAACAAAACACCTGAGAAAAGCCACATAGGGCAGGAAGGTTCTCTTTTGGCTCAGTTTGAGGGACAGCCCACCGTGGAGGTCTCAGCAGCAGGGCCGTGAGGTGACTGGTAACAGGCAGCTGCATTCAGAAAGAGATACATACTGGCCTCAGTTCATTTTCCCCTTCGCGTGAAGTCTAAGACCCTAGTGCATGGACAGGTGCCCACATTTAGGGTGGGTCTCCCCATCTCAAGGAACCCAGTCTAGATCACTCCTAGACTCATCCAAAGTCCATGTCTCCCCATAATTCTGGATCCTGTAGAGTTGACAGTAGAGACATCACACTCTGCTTCCGGGAGGGTGAAGCGGACGCACATTTTCTCATCCCCCTCCCCCACAGATGTTTTTCAGCTGTGTCTCTGTGATGTGGACTTGCCGCTGCCTCCATTTCCTTGGACGTGCATTGCAGATCACCCCAGGAGCTCCTGCATGCACTAGTGAGGGTTAAACACGCTTGAAACACCCACAGCAGCACCTGGATATACTGAGTGCTTAATAAATGCCAGCCTCTATTATTAATAACAATATGAATACAGCTAGTCAAAGTCCTAGCAGGTGGTATCAACTCCTGCTACATGAAAGCCTGTGTCTGCTGTGTCTCTGGAGAGAAGGCTGATCACCCCTCAGGAAACTCAATCTTGGAGGCTGAGATGCTCCAGCTATCTCTGAGGCGCTGGCTCCCCACCAAACAGCAACCCCAGAGCCACTCAGCCGGACCAGCACGGGGTGCCAGTGTTCCCACCAGATAGCCTCTATACTCGAACCTCGTGAGGAGGGCAGGCTGCACAGGTCTCATTGGCTCCGTCTTAGTGGCTGTATTGGGTGATTCAGCTACAGTCACAGCTCGGAGACAGCGAGCACAGGACAGGGCCCAGGCTCTGATGTCCCCAGTGTCTAATGACTCCAGGCATCTGGTGCACTCTGGGGATCTGGCAAGTCCCTGGCAGCCGTTTATGACTTCCAAGCGCTTTCCTTTTGATCACAGCTGCTTCTAGACACAAAGACAGAACACGGGGGAAGCCAGAGACCACCCTTCCTTTCATCTGAGGCTGGGAAAGGCAGCTTCTTCTCCCAGTGGCCACAGGCTCAGAGGCCAGAGCAGCCTACCAAGCCAATCATGGATTCACATTTCTCTCTGACGGCCAAGGCCCGGGACTCAGGCTGCAGCTAGGCAGCTGCTTCAGATGGTAGCATTTGCTGCTTCTCAAACACCAGAGGCCCCAGCCAGGTGGAGAACGGATAGATTCTGGCATTGATCGGTACCCTGAATAATACATCAAAGGCCTATGACTTTACCATAAAGGCCTAGCAAGTCTCTTTGTAGACTCCCTGGGGACCAGCCTTGCCAGTGGGTAGAAAGAGGGGCACTCCTGGGCAGGTTCTCACACCTGAAAGAGGAATGGAAATTATGTCTTCAGCACCCCACCACATACTGCATCCTGTGCCCTGGGGATAGGCTCCCACTCCACCAGTGATACTCCCCTGGAGGGACAAGGCTGCCCCTGAACCTTGAGGTCACTGACTCTTCACAATCTCTCTAACTCCACCTTCTCCAGAGCAGCATGCAGTCTGAATCATACAACACAGCTTTTCCAGGCTGCGTTTCTCAACTCCTTCTTTTTACATACATAAATTATTTAAAGAGGAAATTTGTGTCACCCTCACAGGTGGGGTTTCAGATTCCCTTGCCATAACTAACAGGAAGTCACAAGGATATCAGCAAGAATGGATAATTCTCTATTCCACAAAAGTCGTGACAAGAACTAACACAAATGCCCAAATCAACTCTTTCAGGATTCTGGAAATCCAGCGCAGGCTTGCAGAATTCCAGAGAGTGGGTGTTTGTGGGAGAGCCTGGTAGCATTTTAACTCGATGTGTTTCCAGAACTTTCTCATCAGCCTAGGTTCCTTTGAAAGCCTAGAGTCAGCGGCCCAGTCTCCCCCAGAGGGGACAGAGCCTCAGCATCACGGAACTGTCACTTCTCTGTCCCTGGTGACTCGACTTGCAAGGCTCTCTTCATTCGACCTTGCCCAGTGGGAACAGTCTGAGTTTTTCTAAAACAGTAAGAAGTGAAGGGCCATTCACTGGATTCCAGTGACCCACAGTCAGGTAAACTATGAGCTAACCAAACAGTCCAAGAGAAAACCCGGAAATCTCATGAAGAACAGGGAAAGAAAGCAGCCATCAAGATGTCCATGGTGGCCTTTCGGATTCCAGCAGATTCCTGACGGCTGTGTGCCTGTATAGGCTTGGGCACAGGCTCAGAAGAAACCCAAGAAGGCTCTCAGTTCTCACTTCCACCTGCCCCCAAGAGTGTATGCTAGCAGGAAGTAGAGACAAGCAGGAAGGCAGAATCAACCACTTCCTGCTAAAGTACTAAAGATGTATTCAACATAGACAGACTTCCTGTCTCTGGGGGGAGGAGGTAGTTCTAGGCATTTCAGCATCATTGTCCAATAATCAGTTTGTAAGCTGAGCAGAAACCACAGGGTCCACATAAGAAAAGCATTATACAAGATGGTAATAGAGTCAACGGTTAAAAAAAATGCCACTGCAGTGATTCCCTGAACAGATAAGAAACATCTGGAGGCTGGAGAGGTGGCTCAGGGGTGAAGAGTGCTTGTGGCTTTTGCAGAGGACCTAGGCTTGGTTCCCAGCATCTGCATGGTGGCTTCCAACCCCTATAACACAGTTCCAAGGGACCTGATAACTTCTGGCCTCCACAGGTTCCTGTGCACCCATGGTATGCACACACACACACACACACACACACACACACACACACACACACACACAAATCACAAATAAATTTTAAAAAAAGACAACACCTGATAAAATTGACATGTTTTTATGATAAGAACATTTAGCAACCTGGAGTGGAACCAGTCACATGATCCTCTCAACAGACAGAAAGTGCCCCATACCTCCCACACCCTCTCACAGGAAGATCACGCAGCTAGAGCTAGAGCAGAACTCGCTCCTGCTGGTCAGGGGCGTGGTGAGGCTCTCACAGCTGAACTCCCACGATGATAGGAGACAGTGTCTCTCCCTCCCAGCGGGAACAAGGCTACGATGTCTACTCTCTTTCCTGTTGTACTGGACATTCTAAATGCATTGCACACTAGGGTCGTTCTCCAGAGAGTCTCTCTTGGAGTCACAGAACAGTCTGAGGCAGGGATCGGGCATTCTTTATTATACAGCCTGGGACAGCAGGAAACCCACCCTAAGCACCTGTCACGAGTACCAGTTGGGGACTGGAGCGATGGCTTAGTGACTAAGAGCACTAGTTGCTCTTTCAGGGGACTTGGGTTCAATTCTCAGCTTATAACTGCCTGTAACTCCAGTTCCAGGAGATCTGATGCCCTCTTCTGGCCTCTGTGGACATCAGACATACACATGGTGTACTTACATATGTACAGACAACCACTAAGTAATATACATAATTAATTCATAAATCTTTTTATGAATTAATTATTGAATTATTTAATTCAATAATTAATTCATAAAGGAGTACCTGCTTGTCAGAGACCCACAAGCCAAGGCAGACTGGTAGCCCAGTCTCTCTGCTTTAACCTAGTGCTGGATGCTCAAGTCATCAGTGATGTCACCAACATCCAGAGACTCCTCACAGTGTCCCCAGAGTCTGGACTGGGTTCTCAGTCAGTCGTATCTTCTGTGATGGGCTGCGGTTTCACAGAAATAGACTCCAACTAAAAAGCTAGAGTTCCCGTGTCCTTGATCTGAACACGAACAAGTAAAACCAGAGACTGAAACTTGTATATGGAAAGCAGCTGGGGCTGGGGAGACCGTTCAACCCGGAAAGCACTCACCATGCAGACATGAGGGCCTGAGCTTGGTCCGCAGCTCCTGCGTGAGAGCCAGGCAAGGAATCAGCCCGCACCTCTAATCCCTGGCCTGGAAAGGGAGAGAAGGGGGATCCCTGGGGCCTGCTAGCCAGCCAGTCTAGTTGATCAGGGGGTTCTGGTTCAGTGAGAGACTCTGCTTCAAAAAATAAAATAGAGAGTGACCTTTGGGAAAGGGTCACCGAGGGAGTAGGGGGTCAAAGGAGTAGGGGTCACAGTTGCTGAGAAACAGAAGTATAAAAGGGTACTAGTAGGCAGAACTCAGAGCTATGTGGCAGCCACCAGGAAACAGCCAAGAAGGAGTTTGGTTGCCTGCATGGACAGGCACACAGGTGTGTGCACACAGGTGTGTGCATACACACCAGGACGTGTAGATGCATGGGGAGCTGACAGCCACATCCCTGGGAGAGGAAGTGCTCTGTGCAATCCACCAATGAATGCTGAGGAAATCCAGTTAGATATATTACATACATTTTAACAATGAGGAAACTGAGGCACAGAGAGTAAAACAATCTGCCCAGAGAAGGCTAGTAAACAGCAAAGTGGAGATGTGGACCCAGAACCCACACGCTGCCTTATCCAGGAGCCTCAGAGGCTGCTGAAGAATCAAAAACAGCCGGATGGCCACCAGTTTCCTTGGAAACAAAGACCTGCTCATGCTTTTTTTCTCTGTACTTTTCCGAGCCTGTGAGAGTCAGCCACCACCATCACCACAACCACCACCACTGCCGCCGCCGCCACCACCACCACCACTGAGAACCATTGTTTCCTCTGTCTGAGATGGTTTTTCCAGAAAACCTGAGCTTCTAGAAGTTTGGGCCTAGAACTATGATAGGCATTGCTGGCCTGGCCGAGGAACCCGGAACAAGCCAGACACAGGGAAAGTGTAAAAGCCAAAGTTATGTTTTAAGTTTTCATTACTGTGCCTGAGAGATCCATGAAACAAAAAGCCTCTAACCTGCAAGCCGCTTGCCCAAGGACAGATCCTTCCAAGACGCTGGAGGCTGTGGTTTATGTTCATAATGAACCTCACGTTTGTTTGACTCAGCTGCACTGGATGTACTTGATCACGTGTGTGTGGGAGGAAATACGTCAGGATGTACTCTTGCCCCTGATTGGACCTGATGAGAAATATAGTGGCCTCATGGTTTTGCCTTTTTAAGCCTCTGCAAAACATGACTCGTGGCCATTTTCTGGGAACCCAGACATGGACCTGGCCGGAGTCCATCAACCGAGCCAGTATTTAATTAAAACTTGCTTCAAATTTGAGTTTAAACTGTGGTAGTGGTCTTATTCTCGATAGGTGGGATTAACAATAGCCCCAAGCGCTAAGCTGTCTCTTACACCAGGCACAGGCAGTCATTTGTTTGTTTGTTTGTTTGTTTGTTTGTTTGTATGTATATCTTTTGATAATCATTGTAGCTCGGGCTAGCTTCTAACTCATTGTGTAGTGGAGGATGACCTTGAACTCCTGGCTCCCACCCCGCCCAGGGCTGAGTTTACAGGCATCACACTCAGTCTATGCAGCACTTGGGTGGAATGGAGCTCAGGGATCTGCAGGTGTTAGGCAAGCTCTCTACCAGTTGATCTACACCCCCAAGGCCCTGTTCCTCTTATTCTCACTCTGCAAAGAAGAGGCAGCTGTTTCCTCAGAAGCCAGCAGTGGACTGTCTCTCAGTGTCGCCTGAGACCTAACCCAGTGTGAGATTGTAAGAGTCAAACACCCAAGGGCCAGGCGAGGGCTGGGCCTACCCCCAGCTCAGAGATGACCACACAGGCCAGCCAGGGACAGTGTCACCCAGTTCCCACTCTCCATGCACTGCTGAGGTACAGAAGAGGCATGCCGTGACTTCTCTGAATCTGGTTTCTTATCTGGAGCACAGCACAGTCCTCACACTGGAACAGCTGAAGGGAGGGTCCAATGAGATGGTGGAGAAGCACAAAGCACCTAGCACCCAGCACCCAGCACCTCCAAATGGGTGCTGGCATCAGGACAACGGTTACCTCCATAGCCAATGCATCCATGGTCCCTGTGCAGATGTCAGCCGTGGCCCATGGCCCTCATTTATACCAACGTTGGGTGAGAATAGTCACATCCGCTCATTCACCCCAGTCACATTACCATGGTGGCCAGCATCAGGCCATTGGAACCAAGCTTGTTCAATTCACAGAGTCTGAACTCTCTGGCCATTTTGCAGAAAGTTTTTCCAGCCCTGCCAGAAATGGGAAGACACGCCTTTGTGCCCAGCCTTATTAGGAGAGAGTGTTTCCACCCACTGAACTCTGACACGCTGGTGGAAGATGAATCCCAATTCAGAGGTGATGAAGTGTGAAGAAAAAAATGTGTCAGACTGGAACTGTGACTGAGTGGGTGGGGCACTTGCGTGGCACGCACAAGGACTGGGTTCGATCCCCAGCACTGGATAAGCCAGGCCTGATAGCACAGGCCTGCAACCCCCACTCTCGGGAGACAGAGAAACGGGGGCCAGAGGCTCAGGCTCATCCTTAGTTAGGTAGAAAGTCTGAAAAAACGCACAAGGACCAGCTCAGTGTAGCACCAGCATTAGAGGTGCTTAGGAGCAGAGTTCCCGTGGGTTTCATTCTCCCATCCTCGCGTCCACATCTACAAACCTCCTTAAGCTTAAACATCGTGTGCTGAAAGTGATAGGGGTCACAGTTGAGAGTGGAGATCCCTTCTTCCTGCCACAGAGGCTCATTCGCCTCTCTGATCTTCCGTTTCCTCATCTGAAATACCCATGGTGCATGTCACCAACAGTAGCTGCTAAATAAGGTGGGAGACACTATTAGTGATTGTGGTTTGAATGAGAAAGGCCATCATTGGCTATGTTTGGATGCTTCGTCCCCAGTTGGTAGAACTGGTTGGGAAGGATGAGGAGGTGTGGCCTTGTTGGAGGTGTGTCACTGTGGATGGGTTTTGAAGTTTCAGAGGACCAGGCCAGGCCCAGTGTCTTTCTCTCTGGCTGCTTCGTGAAGATCAGGATGTAAAACTCTCAGCTACTGCTCCAGGGCCATGCCTGTCTGCCTCTTTCCATGACGACCATGGACTAATCCTCTAAAACTATAAGCCAGCCCCCACTTAAATGCTTTCTTTTATACGAGTTCTCTTGATTGTGGTGTTTCTTCTCACCAACAGAACAGTGGCTAAGGCTGTGATAGAAGTTGTTTAAAAAACCAATTATCTTGATCAAGCTGGTTTTTAAAGGTCCTGTAAGAATCCAGCTGGGATCTCGAGACTATACCTTGAGGCCCATGGTATGGCCGATGTTCTGCTTTGGGACCAGAGAAACTCTTCCAAGGTCCTGTAGTAGAAAGGAGCTGCCATGTGCAAGGGGAAGAGGAGACAACCCTGCCCACTCTGCCCTGTTTCCCCAGCCCAGTCTGGGGGAAGGGTGGCTGTCTGTGTGGATCCCTGTCTCTCTACCTCCCTTGGCCAAAGGCGGGGAGAGGGAAAGGGGAGCTCAACAGTGAAGGTGGCCTTACCTCCTACTGTGACCTGGAAAGACCCTAACGATGGAAGCCTCTGGGGAAAGAAGATTCAGTTCAACAAGGCCAAGTAGCCCTTGACTGCGGTGGTGTGGCTCCAGCTGCCTCCTGCTGCTGGACTCTCAGACAAGACTGCACCGGGGGCTCAGCCTCCAGCTGTGGCTCGGGTGCCTGGGTAGCACAGGTAAGTTCTAGAGCCTCTAAATGTTGGCTTTCTCCAGCAGCAGCCTGAAGGCAGCCGAAGGCTAGCCCTGTCCTCACTACAATCTCCCGGGCAGATGCTGCTTCCTACAGGAGACAGAAGCACCTTGAACCTGCCATCAAAGTGGAGATGGGCATGTTCAGCTGCCTTGATAATACTGCTTCTCTCAGCTCTGCTGCCGAATGCCCCTGCCCGCAGAGACCCCGGGAGCCGGTTTCATTAGCAAAAGAGTCAACTTAATTCCAGACCAGCAAGACAGCGCTGAACTACCCAGAGTATCTTCAGGCGACCCCCAGTGCCTTTTTGTCGGGGATAAGATTGGACATCTAGCAGTTATTGACAGAGATGGCAGACAGACATTGATCAGGACCAGGGAGAGAGTTGCCTTCATTATCACAGGACAGCTACAAGCAGTGATGGACGAGTCCCTGGCAGGGTAGAGCCGCCTCTTTTGGTGCTGATGGCTGATATGGAGGCCTGCCTCTCTGTCTCAGCCTGTCCCTGACCTTTAAAAGAAATGAGATGATGATAAAACTCGGCAGCATCCCTGACTGATGGGTGTGGAACACTGGAGATGTGAACCTTTGGTGATGAGACGGGGTGGCAGTCTGCCTCCTCGGCAGTCTGTTTCCCGGGCCCCTCTGCAGCCTGTGATCCAGCTCAGCCAGGGGCTGGGACCAGGGCTCCAGGAAAGTGCAAGGCTGGTCTTCCAGTCCACAGCCTCCCGCTTTGAACCTTCCAAATGGGAAAGATTTGGGAAGAGATGGGAGTGGGTACTGGTGCTCCCAAGGCCCTTGCTCCCTGCAGTGAGGTCCCTGAGGCCTTCTGGTGGCATAGGTACCCAGGCCTGCCCTACATCTGTCATTTTGGGGGAAGAGCTGTACCTCCATGTAATCAAACCCCACTGAGCGCACTCATCCACTGAACTTTCTAGAGAGGTCTGGAGAGATTCCAAGCCCGTGGCTAGAGTGAGGCTTGCCAGCATTTGAATGCTATCCTGGCCCTTACAAAGCAACCATCCACTCCCCTAGGGGCTCACACATCCTGATGGATAAAGACCCACCCAGGCTCTTCCATGCAGGTTAGAGGCAGAAACCTATCAAGATTCCCCTGGAGAGCCAGAATCTCAGAGTCGAAAACAGAGTCTGGAATACACACTGGAAAATAAATACATATGTGTCATTGGGAACCTAGAGCTGACCACTGTCTCCATACTTCTGAGTCTTGTCCTGCCCAGGAAGATGTGGGGTTCCACCACAGAGCCTATCATCACCTCACGTCATGAAGTCTCCAGACAGGGACAAGCCACACACTCCTGCATAGCATGTGTGCCTAGCTCTGCACAGCTGAATGATGGGTAAATGAACGAATGACCACGTGCTCCATTCCTGTTTAAACACTTCCGAGAGTCTGGGTACGACCCCCACCCCCCTGCAGCTCCCTCATTCAGCTAGAGCAGCTGGCCCTCAAGCCTCGGGGATCTGCCTGTTTCTGCATCTTCAGTACTGGAATTACGAGCTCACACCATGGTGTCAGGCAAGCACTTTACGGACTGAGTCTTCTCCCATTTTAGAGATGAAGTGACAGATCTGTCCGCTGAGTAAAGAGACACACTCAGAAGACACACACAGGCACTTCGGGCTCACACCTACTAGGCTCAGATTTCTTTTCAGGTGGAGACAATCATGGCCACCATGCCATGCAAGTCGAAACCCTGGAGATGTGCTTTCAGGCACTGCTTGGGAAGGGGCTGGCTTTGGGCAGGTTTATTATCCTTGGCAGGAGATAATTAAGAGTGTCCCTAAATCAACAGTGCTGGACGAAGCATGGCCTCGGCTGCTCTCCGCGAAGATTATTGCTGTGTATGAATATTTCATAAGTCTCTCCCGCCAGCCCTCCCTGCCCGCTCCATGGTCATAAATGTCATCCTGCAACCCAAATCTAAACTCAGCTGTGTCTCAAGTGGGTGGGAGAGCTTTCAGATCACTCTGGGACGCACAGAACTCACTTTAAACATGGAAGAAGGAGGGAGGCAGGGAGGGAAGGAGGGAGGGGAAGAGGGAGGGAGGGAAGGATGGAGGGAGGGAGGGAGGGAGGGAGAGGGGGAGGGAGAGAATATGCATCACCTCTTAAAAGCCACACTAAGCACAGAAGTGGATTAAATGGTGCCCCCTCCCCTGCCATATTCATGTCTACAAAGCTTCAGCATGCGGCTTCCATGGAAATAAAGCCTTAGTTCAATGACGGGGACAGTGAGGTCACACTGGGGGTCTGGGGGCTCTAACTCACTGATGTCTTTGTAAGGAGAATGACACCCAGGAAGAGGAGGAATAGCCACATGCACATAGGAGTGCCA